CATACAGACATACATATAGACATACAGACATACATATAGACATACAGACATACATATAGACATACAGACATACATACATACAAATATATACGCATAAACAGACAGATATATAGACAGTTTTTCCGCGCGGCTGGGACATAAATCGTGAGTACACTTGCCAGTTGTCACTGGCCGGATTCGGCAATGACATTTGTACCTGAAGCCTGCTTGGTCTGCTTGGCCTGCTTGGCCTGCGATCAAAGTTGGCTAAGGTCAACCCGAGGCTGAGGTCAAGGAGGCCATACGTTAGCCGCCTGACGTTCAGCTGTCACGCTATTGCTCAAATGGACACAAGACCTACGCGCTATCTACCAACATGCTCAATTGCACACAAACACTGTAGGTGAAAGATGGGCCAGTCTATCTATCCAATCCTCACTCGGTTCGGACAGCTCCAAAGGGGACCTCAACAAGTGTCCCATCTGCCGGGAGCCCTAAAAGCCAGCTTCGCCTGGCCAAAACAATCCCACTTGGTTTCAGAGCGTGCCAACAGCGGTCCTTGCGTCGTGTCAGGCGAGGAGGAATGGCCGCGATCGCCGTGCGCCCCTTTTAAGCACTCGTTTGGCTCTTGAGTCCTGGCAGCTTGAGGCTAGTGGAGCTGAGGGGGAGTGAGGGGGAGTGAGGGGGAGTGAAGGGGAGTGAGGCGGTTCAAGAAGTAAGCTCGCCTTGACTCTATTTTCCAAATGAAAGTTTGACAATTTTATTTATCACAATGACATGAGGGGAAGACATTAAAGTTTATCTTATGGGGGGTATCAGTATCAGTATCAGTATCAGTAAATCTTAAATAGGATTTCGAAATCTACTTTAAAGGCAAATAATAAATGTGATGTCGTTTTTGAGTAAATTTTTAACAAGACCTGCCTTCTTCCCGTTTCGTTTAACAACATCAAAGACGGACAGTCGGATTTTCCCACAATCTGTTGAGTACTCAATTTCACGTATCTTCTCTTCCCAAAAGCTGGTCTCATTCCGGCTCGACTGGACGGCAGTTGCGAATTTTTCTAAAATGGCTTCATCCGAGCCTCCAGCCAGACTCGAGCCCGGGCAGCGGCGTATAGTCTCGACACTCTAACCTCTACACCAGACTGCCAAGAACGGCCCAAATTGCAAGACAAACGAGAATTTCAAGGACAGTTTGGTCATTTCTCTATCCTTTTATCTGTTGGAATTGTCGATGAAGCAATGTTATATTTTCTATTATAATCCACTGCATTACTCATTTCTATTTATAAGTAGGCTTCGAGAGTACCAATATAAGATACCAGATGGATTTACCTATTTCGTTTAAGATTTCCGGTAAGACCAGCTTTACTTTCCAGATGGTATCTCTTGTCATAATAATTCACTAAGGGAACCTTGGAAACCAATTTAAAGAGAGTAGACACATTTCTCCCCGCGAAATCGGTTGTTACATCGTCCCCGGTCTACGTGCGAATGGTAGGCATGTCGGTTAGTGGCAGAAATGAGGCCAGCTCATTGTGTTTCGAGCTCGTATGACCTAGGGTGGAGGGGCAAGCTGAATGCCTATGATCCTTCACGAGTCGAGCTCGAGTCTCTCTGGAACAGGATTCGGTGCCGGACGTTGCCGGGGCCTGCAACAAGTCGCATTCAGTCGCCTTGGCCACATTATACATTTTTTGATAGTCTCAGGCCCAATGACTACGCATGCGTTTCGAAGCATAAACTGAAATGTATGTGTTTATCATAAAAGTCACCGTAACTAGACTTAAAACTGGAAGCCTTAACGACAACCCAGTGAAATTTACTTGCTTTACTTGCTCTCCATCCGCCGCCCGGATACACACAAACACACAATCATTTAGAATATACTCAACGGAGGACGAACACAAACCTACAAATGCATGGACAAGTAAATAAATATAAATATAAATATATATAAATATATAAATATATATATATATAAACACACGCACACAATTATAATAGCATAAATGGACATTCAAACATGCAGGCATACATGTACAAATTGCCGAAAGATATAAACAGACCTCTACGAACCAACACATTCGTCCTCCAACTCACACGGATAGAAGCTTGACCGAGATGGTGTATCATGGCGGCACGATGGCCAACTTTATGGGTCAAAATTGAACTATTGTAACAACACCCTCGCTTCAGTTTGTTGTGTAAAGATCGACAGAGAAACAGCGCTAACGGTTGAATTCTCTGAGTTGGCATGTTTCGAAGGCGTCAATAATTCCGTAATTCTAGGTCGTTTGGGCTATTTTAAGGAATGACAGTGAACTTTTTCTCTTTAAAGCATCATACAGGTTTGCTTGGCACTTGCTGCGCAACAGATTCTTTCCAAAAGAAACTGGGACTGGAGTGTAAAGTCGAGCATACAACCACAGCTCTGGGTCTCAATGTGACACACGGCTTTCAAGACGAGCGGGCAAAGCCTCTCTCAAATGGCACCTGATAATGGGAGTTTCGATATGGCAACACCGATCATCCGTTACAAGCGACCACACTACTTATTTGCAGAGTCAGTAGATTTGAGTATACTGATTTAAGAGTAGGGACGCTGTTTCGGCGTTTCGAAAAGCGCCTGCTACTGTTTGGGGAAGATCATTACAATTTTATTGCCAGAAAAAGGGATAATTGCAAAGACTTTCAAGTCGCTACGTTGGGGTCAGGTGAGTGTTAGAGGAAAGTACAGATCGAGACTGGGCACTGAATCGAGTCAACTCGATGCGGCAATGAGAATGGGGATCACCAGATCTCTGATTGCCACCGATTTGCACCACTTTTGATCCCACTTTTGATCGACAACTGCTGTCTCGGCGTCTACCTGCCATTCCATCAGCTGCTCCAGCAGGACTCGAAACAACGTCGAATCGGTTCCGGCGGTAGACAGGTTGCCCCCTCTCGAGCATAGAACGCCAGCCCAACTCACTCAAATAACTCACATGAGTCCCGGGACAGAACATATTTGTCATGGCAACGCTATCGCCTCAATCGACTCGTTCACGGCCTAGGTCCCGCTGCGGATACAGCCTGGTTAGGATTATGACCACGCCGATTGGTCAAGTAGTCAAGCTCCCATCCTGCACAGTCGCGGTTCGACTCCCGCTGAGGGTGTTGATAAGACCGATGCGAGGTCGAAACTGCAGTCAACTTCAGTCGAAATGAGAACAACTTTTGCGAAACTAAGGCTATATGAAATTCAATGGAAACGTCAGGTCAACTCATATCATTGTGGAAAAATTGTTCTTCTACCAGTCCTTAATCACCTTAAACGAAATTGAGTGAATACATCTCATACTACTGATTAACTGATTTACTGGTAGTCACGAGAACAATACTTAATTCGAAAAT